GCGTCGTATTCTCCTGCTCTTTTTCATTATCTGTTTCGCCCCCTCTTCCCTCTTTCCCCTTCAGCTCTCGAAGAAAGTCCAAAAAAACGCCACCGAAAAAGACCCTACGAGACGACCTAAGAGAGTCCGAATACAGCCCGCCCGCCCGCCCCCGAAAAAGGCCCCCAAGGGGTCGGCGGTGTGGCGTAAGCCTAAGAATCAACGACATGATTCACTGCATCCCGCCACCATAGACGTGGCCCCCCTGGTCGACGCGCGGGCAAGCAGCGACGCCATGGGCGCCAACGAAACAGACAATGATTCCACTTCTCTGCGCTGCGGTGCGACGTCCTAGCGGCAAACTTCGTCTTCCTCTTAATTAGGCAGCGTGACGGCCCCGAGTCTGAAACCCCAATAAATGCATCTTGCCTCCGCGTGCGCAGTTGCCCGCCGCGCGTAATCTATCCGCGTTTATTGGTCGCCTCTCGGGGCACAAAATATGTTCCGCGCCATCTTCCGCCAGATCGTGCGCAGCATGCGACGAGTCCGCACGTTGAGTGTCCAGCGCTTGCATATGTGGATCGCTGTCGGCGTGACCACAGCGTCCAAAAAGTCAACCCGGACCGAAGCGGGTCGGATCTCGAGCAAAGCACGTCTCGGAACTTCGCAAAGCGACGCCATGGTCCATTCATCCTGATAGAGAACTCGGAGTCCGGATCACTGCCAACGCGAAAGTGCCGTCCACAATACCTATTTTGCTTCGCCAGTGGGACAACGCGTACGTCAGCGCCTTCAATTTTGATGCAGGAGGGCAAACTCAAGCTGGCGTTCGCGGGTATATTCGTCCAATGCACGAATGATTAAATGTAGCTCCCTCTTTTCTCGGCGATCAACAAAACATCGTCTATGAACTGGGGGCTCGTTAAAGGATCCTCCGGCGTGTCTACCATCACCCCGTGATAACATCCTTTTCTCCGCTCGTCGACGCCATTCCACCAATTTCTGAAATTACGAGGGCGAACTTCTCTCACGGCTATAGATCCATTTGGGAGGGCGGGCGCCTGATAAGACAGTCCAAAACAAGCAAGGAACTCTACATTGACAGTACCGCATGAGTTCCGTCTACCATGTCACTCACTCGACGTCTCCGCCCTGGTGGAAGCCGCGCCTGGGCATGCGCGCGTCTCTGCAGGATGCCAGGCGTCGCTCCAAGATGCCCCTGAGATCCATCGGCGGGGCTAGCTGGTCAATCACTCATCCTCGCAAGATATCGGGCCTCCCCGACTTCATGCACGAAAACAACGCAGGTGGACTTGTGAAAATGATAAGTACGTCAGGTGGTTGGTCACGCGGAATGTTTGCTCGCATATCGATATGTTCGCGTCCCCGAACAACTCGGCATTATGCTGCAACTTCGGGTGGCGATTGCTGGGGCACCACTCGTCCACGATGTGCCCAGATGAAAGGACAGTGCCTGTGATGTGACGCATCTACGGGAACGCCACTGCCATCGCAATCTGCGAGTCCCCTGCTCTGGCAGTCGCAAATTTACGCACGTGGCATGCGTCGTCATGGACGACCACGCGCACATCCGAAACGACCGCGCAGGCTTCTGAGGGAAAAATATGTGTGAAGGCTTTCGGCCCCGAAATATTCTTCACATACAAGATATGGCCATGTGGCAGACATGCCACGAGCCAACCGCCAGTCGGGCGGCCCTCGGGTTGTCAGGAGCGCTGTTCCTGGGTGTCACAGGATACGCTGTCCAGATCGGCGTCCGATCACTTGCTTGGGCAACAATTCTCTACTGCCACAGCCCAAAAGGCGTACAATGCCTGAGGGCACACAATGTCTGTCCGCTGCCACCGTCTGTTTGCTCCGGCCCCATGCAAATACCACTCTCACTCCTTGCTCTCCGCAAATGCAACCTCGCATTGACCCTCGCTGCCAGCTTTAAGAGCATACGTTTTCCAATATGCCACCGCTATCGGCGGCGGCGGACCTTCTCCCCGCGCAGGGGGAAGAGGAGGAGGAAGAGGAAGAGGACGAGGAAAAACGGGAGGAAGGCTGCCGAGCGCGTCGCAAGATCCGGCAAACCCCGAAAGATACGGCAAACACAGCACACCCAGAAAACCTCGCAGACTCGACCCCGAAGACCCGGCAAAACCTGCAGACCCAATGGCAGACCCAAAAGACGCGGCGGACCCCGCAGACCCAGCAAACCCGGGAGACCCAGCAGACCCGGCAGGCCCGGGAGACCCGGCGGACCTGGCTGACCCGGCAGACCCCCGCAAACACGGCACACACGGCACACCCGGCAAACCTCGCAAACTCCGCAGACCCCGCAGACCCAGCAGAACCAGCAGACCCGGCAGACCCTGCTGACGCGGCAGATGGTAGACCCTGATAGACCCAGAAGACGCGGCGGACCCCGCAGACCCCGCAGACCCAGCAGGCCCGGCAGACCCAGCAGGCCCGGTAGACCCGGCGGAATGGCTGACCTGGCTGACCTGGCAGACCTGGCGGATTCGACAGACCGTGCAGACCCTGCAAACCCCGCAGACTCCGCAGACTCGCATGTCTCGACAGGCGTGACCAGCGCCATGCACCGGCACGACTGGCGACACCAGCGTGACGGGCGCGACCGGCACGACCCGCGAGACCGGCGCGACCAGCGCGACCGGCGCCACCGGCAAGACTGGCGCGACCAGCGCGACCAGCGCGACCGGCGAGACCGGCGCCACAGGCGCCACCATGGTAGCGCCTGTGGCATGACCGGCGCGACCAGCGCGACCAGCGAGACCTGCAAGACCAGCACGACCGGCACGACCGGCGTGACCAGCACGACCAGCGAGACCGGCGAGACTGGCCCCACCGGCGCAACCGGCGCGACGGGCGCCACCAGCGCGACCGGCGCGACGGGCGCGACGGGCGCGACCGGCGCGACCGGCGCGACTGGCGCGACTGGCGCGAGCTCCAGATCCACCTCTTCTTCAATTGGGCCTCCTGAGGGGATGGCGACACTAATTGAGAAACCCCCCTTTTTTAATCGATCTCCTCCAAGATGGCCCCAAGAGGGCCCCAAAAGGGCCCCAAGAGGCGCCCAGGACGCCCTATAGGATGCCCTCAAGATGTCCCCAAGAGGCTCCCAAGAAACCCCCAAAAGGCCCCAAGAGGCTCCCCCAAGGCAGCCAAGACGCTTCAAGAGGCCCCCGGGGCCGCCAAGAGGCGCCCAACACGGCCAAACAGCCCTGCAAGAAGCTCTCGAGGGACATCCGAAGAGACTCTGAGAAGCATCCAAAGAGGCCTCTGGCCTTCCTGCTCGCCATCCTCCTCTTCCAATTCCTCATCCACCTAATCCTCCCCCTCCTCCTCCTCCCTGCTTACATTTCCCTCCTCCATCCTCCCCCCTTCCTCCTCCTCCTCCTCCTCCTCCTCCTCCTCCTCCTCCTCCTCCTCCTCCTCCTCAACCTCCTCCTCCCCCTCCTCCTCCTCCTCCTCCTCAACCTCCTCCTCCTCCTCCTCCTCCTCCCTCCTCCTCCTCCTCCTCCTCCTCCTCCTCCTCTGGCACCTCCTCTATCCCCCCCCTTTGGGAATGACGGTTTTCCAACCTTTCTTCCACTGCGTGTTCCCCCACATGCCTGATCAGGGCAGCTCGCCTGGGCATCGTTTCTGGATGGGCTGGTGGAATTAGACGACGCGTCTAGAATTTCACTGAGGTGCTGGCGCGCTGCCTGATCTGTTCTGAGCGCGGAGAGGGTTCGACCCCTCAATGGCCTCCTCGAGCCGTGACGCTGTACACCATAAGCTTGCGAGTTAAAGAAGTACGACTGCAACGCATGCTGAAACCGCGTGCAGTTGAACCAACCCGCGCACACAGACGCAGCTGTTTGTCTACTGTTAGATTCGTTCCCTGCTCACACCCACCTGGCTGGTTCTGGAACCGATCCGAACAGGCCGAACCGAACCAGACGGAACCAAACTGGCGTGAACCCGTCGCATTTTGAACCCGAACCGAGCCGAACCAAGCGGACCCAACTTGTCCGAACTTCCAGATCCTGTTCGCTGATCCTCTCCTTCTCGTTTGGCCCCCTCCTCCTCCCGCTCCTCCCGTCCTCCTGCTCCTGATGCTCCCCTCCTCCTCCTCCTCCTCCCTCCTCCTCCTCTTCCTCCTCCTGCTCCCCCTGCCTCGGAGGCCGCACCTGGTGAGTTGTGCTGGGGAGGGAAGGTGGGGAAGGGGAGGGAAGGGGAGGGCCCCCTCGTGGCCCCCCATGGCAGACGACGACGACGACGACGACGACGACGACGACGACGACGACGACGACGACGAGCGCTGCGGCGGCGGCGGCGGCGGCGGACCGCGCGCGCTGGGCCGCGTGCCGCGGCTGGGCGGGAGCTGCTGGAAGTTGGAAGGGGCGCTCTCCGCAGCCCGCGTGCTCGCGGACAGTGACGGCGCGCACCAAGGGGGTGGCGTGAGGGGGGAGGGCTTCTTAGAAGGAGGCTGCTTCTTAGAGGTCGCTGGCCCTGCATCTACAGAGAAGGCCCGCGCCTTCTAGGAAGCAGGGGTGCTTCTGAGAAGGCCTCCCCCCTCCCCCCACCCCCCTCTGCGCGTGGCCGGGAGAGAGAGCCGAGCTGGGCCGTCTCGAGGCAACCACAGGTGAACCCGACCCCTGCAGGCCAGATTTCTGGAAAGCTGGCTGGTGTTCAGAAGTTGAGGGATGTCTACGGCCAAGTGAACCTCAGCGGGGGTGTCCGATACCCCAGCGTCGATTGAGCTTGTGGGGGTTAGGTTCGCAAATGGTCACAAACAAAATCCTCCAACCGGAAAACACCGCGCCGAACTGGACCGAACCGCACCGTGCACTTCACGACGCCGCGCTGGTCCGAGCCAAAAAGCTTCCGGCACCGCACAGAGAGTAGCCGGAGGCGCTTCGGAATTTGGCCAACATGAATCGCAAGTTTGCTGGCCCACGCATGACGTGCGACCACGAAAGCGGTCGCCTGCCCCCGCCCCAGCCCTCCGCTGCTGAACATGTGCACCAAGAAACTTCTGCCGCCAGACGCCAGCGCCGCGTTGAAGGCCTGGTAGGCGATTAAAGGCTTCTCCACAATCAGATAAACAGGGATGAGCATCACCGTCCTGCCGAATGCAGGAGCGGATCTCCCCGTCGCGATCCAATCCTTTTGTCTCTCACACCGAAACCATACAACGCGAAACTCGACCAATCGCCTTCCCTGTTTCTCTCACGCTCATTGCCCTCCCGTGCTCAACAACCATCAGCTTCTGGCACGAGGGGTCGGCTGCAGTTGCGTGGACCCTGACTGCACTGGACGACCGAAGGCATGCATGCATACATACTACCTGGTGCCTCCTCCTCCTCTTCCTCCTCAACCACCTCCTGCTCTCTCCACCCTCTCCTCCTCCCTGCCTCCCTCCTCCCCCCTCCCTCCCTCCCTCCCTCCCATCCATTCTTCAATGGGGTGAAGTATTGAAGAAGCCAAGTGAATGAGAAATGTTTGATGTTCATTCACTCGGCAGTCTTCGTTCACCCTTGCAGAACAAGAGGAAGAAGGAGGAGGGCTGATGGCTGATCCCTCCAGTCCCCATGATCGTCAGGACGGAGAACGTGTTCGCCGAGTCCATGTTCTTACCTCCGGGCTAGCGCCAGCGACCACAGCGGCCACCCAGCCAAGAAGGGCTGGCCACTCCGCCAAGCCACCCTCCCCCACCCCCTCCCTTCTCGCCCGCCCCTCCAACAGAGGGCCAGAATAGCTAACCACATGTGAACCCTATCCCTGCAGGTAAGAGTTCTGAAACCCTGGCGAGGGTTCAGAAACCAAAGGGTGCCTGCAACCAAGCGGACCCCCGCAGGGGTGTGCGGTGCACCACCGTCGGCTGGGCCCGCAGGGGTAGGCTTCGTAAGTGGTCGCAGGCAGACAGAAGCCGAGGAGAGGGGACGGAGGAGCAGGAGAAGCAGCAGGAGGAGGTAAGGGAAGATAAGACCGATCGCGAAGCGAAGTCAAAACAAAACAAATTACGCTCGAGCCGCCTCCTCAGCCTTGCTGAGCACCTTGCAACCCTCCGCGGAATCCGCCGATCTGGCGTGTGCACTCCAACGAGCGGGAGCTCCAGCTTCGCCTTAGCTCCTCTCTGCAGAGGGGGGGGTCGCCCTGCGCTTCCCCTGGCTCCGAATCCGGAGCTCCAGGGCCGCGCCGGGCCCGGGCCCCGGCCCTGGCCCCGGCCCCGTCTGCTCCGGCTCCAGCCCCAGGCTCGGCCCCAGCCCGGGCCCAGGCCCCGCCCGGCCCCGGCCCTGGCCCCAGCCTCCGGCTCTGGCCCCGGCCCCGGCCCCAGGTGAGGCCCCAGGCACGGCACCAGCGCGCCCCAGCCCCGGCCCCTGCCATGGCCCGAACCCCCCCGGCCCCGCCCCGGCCCCGGCCCTGCCTGGCCCCGGCCTCAGCGCCGGCCCTGACCCCGGCCGCGACCCTGGCCCGCGCCAGCCCAGCCCTGGCCCCGACTCCAGCCCGGCCCCGGCCCCGGCTTCAGCCCTGGCTCTGGCCCAGACCCTGGCCCGGTCGCGTCGTTCGTCGTTCCACATCGTCAGCATCCTCATCGGTCGTCGTCGTCGTCGCTGGTCGTCGTTCGTCGGCCATCGCTTGCCGTGAACCGCCCATTGTCGTCATCAGTCGTCCTCGTCGTCGTTGTCGTCGGTCCTCGTCAATGGTCGTCGTCGATATTCCGTCGACATTCGTCGTTCGTCGTCGTCTTGGTCGCCGAAATCTTCAACAGCGTCGGGAACGCCCCGGACGGGCAGCACTGCCCAGAGGCCACTACAATCAAATGCAAGTTCTTCCAACCCGCCCACCTCGTCCCCCCAATTTCGATGTTCAGCGACGCACGCAACGCGCAGCCGATGGATGCAACGACGCCTCGCTGGGCACAACAACCGCAAGGAGCGGCGGAGCGCGCGAAAGGGGAGAGGAGCACGCTGGAAGACAGAGCACGCGGAAAAGATCGTAAGGCCTCAGGCCGCGCTCAGCTCGCACATGCGCCCTCACGAGCAGCAGGGGCACAGCAGCAGCAGCAGCAGCAGCAGCAGCAGGGGCACAGCAGCAGCAGGAGCAGAGCAGGAGGAGGAACAGGAGGAGGAGGAGGAGGAGGACAAGTAGGCGGCGGCAGTAGGTGGGCCGGGCGCGGCGGCGGCGGTAGTGGGGCCGAGCGCGGCGGCGGCGGCGCGCGGCCGGCCCCGGTGGCCACCCGCTCCAAAGTTGGGCGGGTGCCAGGGCCGCGGCAGGGAGCAGCAGGAGCAGAGCAAGGGACAAATTAATGCGGTCAGGCGTGGGGGGGGAAGGCCCTGCTCTGCCGCGGGTGCGCCGAGGTCGCCCTGCCGCGCCAGGGAGGGCACGGGCAAGCAGACCGTCGGATCAAAAGTTTGGCGCCGGGCATCCTCAGCGGCCCAGAGGACCTGCCCACGAGAGCCCCTTACGGGCCAGAGGAAGCCAGGGCATGCGAGGGCCACCAGCGGCCGAGCGGCAACAGGGGCCAGCAGGCAGAAGGAAAAGGAAGCCGCGAAGCGGCGGTCGACATGGGCTCAAAGTCCAGCAGAACAGGAGCCCGCGAGGCAAGCCGTGGGAGGGAAAGCACGCAGGAGGCCAGATCGCCCTGGCCCTGCAGGAAAAGGGCGGGTCCTCCTTCCAACCCCTCCCCCTTAAGGGTGGGCCCTTTCTCTGCAGGGTGGACCCCTTCCAAAATCCGTGATTCGGTGCGCATCGTCTGCGCGCATCGTCTCCGTCGTCGTCGGGACAGTGGTGGGCGTTGCTCTGCTCAGGACTTGTTCCCAAATGCGGTGACCACCACCTTCACCCCTCCCCCTCCCCCTCCTCCTGGATCGCCTATAGTCTGGCCCATGAGCATCTTGGACCACACGGCTCGTCCCGCTGCCCTGGCGATCGGAGCGGGCGGGAAGGCGGTTTGTGTTTCTCGCCCTTGCGGCCACCATCATCCTCACTCATATTCCTCATCTGACCTGCTGTTTTTGCGTACGCGTGTATCTAAATATCGGTTAAGTGCTTTCCTGTCGGCGCCTCCGGGGAGCCTCTGAAGACTTCGAGGCTTAACCGCGGTTTCCCTCAACGACAAAGTCCTGACGTGGGGTGTTTGGGGGCGCGTTTGGGGTACATCTTGCCTTGTTGGCCCGCTTAAGGGCAATATTGGGAGCCTTTTGGGCGGCCTCGGACACACAGAAGACGGACGAAGCGAGTATCCCAAAACCAAACAAAAATATTAAGGGTGCCAGTGACGTTTACAGTGGAGGGGTCTCTCAGACGGTCTTTTTGGGCCGCCGTGGGACGTCTCAGGGGGGTCTGGGGCCGATAGGGGCTCTCGTGGGGGCCGTTTGGGCGCTCTCCTGACCGATTTGGGAGCCCGCTTTCTACCTGGCATGGACGTCCGCGAAGCTTCGAAGGCCCAGAAAACGCTGCGCAAGAGCGCCCAAGCAGTCTTGGGAAACTCCAGCAGGAGGTAACCTATCTGAGGTTGCCGGCCCTGTGTGTGCTGTATATTGCGCGCATGGTGTATTGTGTGTATTGTGTGTATGTGTGTTTTGTGCTTACTGTGTGTCTTGTGTGTATTGTGTATTGTGTGTATTGTGTGTATTGTGTACCGTGCGTATCGTGTGTATCGTGTGTATTGTGCGTATTGTGTATTGTGTATTGTGTATTGTGTTTTTCGTGTATTGTGTATTTTGTGCTTTGAGCGTGCTGTTTGTAGTGTGTATATCGTGTGTATTGTGTATATTGTGCGTATTCGGTGTCTTGTGTGTATTGTGTGCATTGTGTGTATTGTGTGTTTTGTGTGTATTGTGTTGTGCTTACTGTGTGCAGTGTTTGCATTGTGTGTAATGTGCATGTTGTGTGTATTGTGTCTTGTGGTGTGACTTGTGTGAATTGTGCGCATTGTGCGTATTGTGCGTAGTGCGTGTTTTATGTGAATTGTGTCTATTGTGTATTATGTGTATTGTGTGTGGTGTGTAGTGCGTGCTGTGTATTATGTGTATCGTGCGTATTGTGTGTTTTGTGTGTATCGCGTGTACTGTGCATTGAGTACTGTTTGTATTGTGTGCTTCGTGTGTATTGTGTGTATTGTGTATAGTGTCTGTATTGTTTGTACGGTGTGCATTGTGATCATTGCGAAGTGCGTGTGCGTTGTATATTGTGCGTATTGTGTGCATTGTGTGCCTTGTGTGTATTGTGTGCATTGTGTGTTGTGTGTTGGGTGTACTGTGCGGGTGTAGGTGCGAGCGCGCGTGCGCGCGTCCGTCTGCGCGTGCGTTTGTGCGTGCGCGCACGTGCGCGCGTGCGCGCGCGCGTGCGCGTGCGTGTGTAGGCGCGCGTGTGCGCGTGCATGTGTGGGAGCGTTTGTTTGTTGTTTGTGTGCGTGGTGTGCGCGGTGCGTGCGTGAATTGCGCGTGGGTGTGCGCGCGTGCGTGCGTGCGCACGCGCGGGTGTTCACGCGCGCGCATGCGCGCGCGCGCGGTCGCGCGTGAGCGCGTGTGCGCGCACGCGCGTGCTTGTGCGCAAGCGCGCGCGTGCGCGCGCACGTCCGCGCGTGGTTTTGCGCGGGCCTGCGCGCGCGCGGGCGTGAGTATGCGTGCGTGAGAGCTCGCGCGCGCGCACGCGCGTGCGCGCGTCCGCGTTTGCGCGCGTGCGTGCGTGCGCTCGGGCGCGGGTGCGCGCGCGCGCGTTCGCGCGCGTGCGCGTGCACGCGTGCGCGTGTGCGCGTGTCCGCGCGCGCGCGTGCGCGCGTGCGTTTTGTGTGCGCACGCGCGCGCGCGTGCGCGCCTGCGTGCGCGCGCGTGCGTTTGCGTGCGCACGCGCGCGCGCGTGCGCGCGTGCGTGCGCGCGCGCGTGCGCGCGCAACGCGTGCACGCGCGCGTGCGTGCACGTTATTGCGCGCGCGCCGGCGCGCGTGCGGGCGCGAGACTGCGTGTGCGAGAGCGCGTGTGTGCATGTGCGATTTTGTCTGCGCGTGTGTATGGTCCGTTATGTATGTTGCGTGTATGTTGCACGTGTGTTGCGCGTGTTGCGTCTGTGTGTGCGCGGTGCGTGCGCGCGTGCGTGCGTGTGCGCGTGCGTGTGCGCACGCGCGTGCGCGCGCGCACGTGCGTGCGCGCGTGCGCGTGCGCGCGCGCGTCTGCGCGCGCGTGTGCGCGCGCGCGTTCGTGTGCGCGTGCGTGTACGCGTGCGCGTGCGCGTGCGCGTGCGCGCGCGTGCGTCTGCGCGCGTACTCGCGCGCGCGCGTGCGTGCGCGTGGACGTGGGCGTGGGCATGGGCATGGGCATGGGCGCGGGCGTGGGCGTGGGCGTGGTGCGAGGTGCGTGGTGCGTGGTGCGTGGTGCGTGGTGAGTGGTGTGTAGCTCGTGGTGTGTGGTGCGCGGTGCGTGTATGCGTGTGCGCATGTGTGTGCGTGTGCGCCATGCGTTGTGTCTTACGTGCGTTGTGTGTGCGTGCTGTGCGCGTGCGCGTCTGTGTGATGTGTGCTGTGTGTTGGGTATGCTGTGGGTGCTGTGTGCTGTGCGTATGCGTGTGCGCGAGTGTGCGTGCGTGCGTGTGCACGTGCGCGCGTGCGTGAGCGTGAATGTGCGTGCGCGTGTGGTCTGCGTGTGCGTGCGTGTGCGTATGTGTGCGTGTGTGCGTGTGTGCGTGCGTGCCTGTGTGCATGCGCGTGTGTGTGCGTGTGTGTGCGTGTGTGTGTGTCTGAGCGTGTGTGTGCGTGTGTGTGCGTGTGTGTGTGCGCTTCGTGTGTGGGTGCGTACGTGCGTGTGCGCGCGCGCGTGTGCGTGTGTGCGTGTGGGCGTGTGTGTGTGCGTGCGTGCAGGTGCGCGAGTGCGCGCGTGCGCACGTGCGCGTGTGCGCGTGCGCGCGCACGTGCGAATGTGCGTGCGTACGTGAGTGCGTGCGTGCGTGTGTGTTGCATGCGTGAGTGCGTGCGTGCGTGCGTGCGAGCGTGCGTGCATGCGTGCGTGCGCGTGCGCGTTGCGTGTGTGTGTGTGCGTGTGCGCGTGCGTGCGTGCGTGCGTGCGTGCGTGCGCGCGAGCGTGCGAGCGTGCGCGCGCGTGTGCGCGTGCGCGTGCGTGTGCGTGCGTGTGCGTGTGTGCGCGTGCGTGTGTGCGTGTGCGCGTGCGCGTTCGTGTGCGTGCGCGCGCGTGCGCGCGCGAAGGCTGCCTAGGGTCGAGCCATCGCACTCCTCGGACCCTGACCACTGCACGCTCTCAGGGCCGTCACATGTCGGCGATCTTTCGCCTTACTTTGCACCAAACTGCTCACGCTATTGTTCTTACTTTGAACGCGCGGAGAATGAGCGAACACCTCCCAGCCTTAGGTCATCATTCTCTGACTCACTCATATTCAGACTCACTCATACTCAGATGTACGCGTTCAGAATATCCTGATACTCAGGTTTCTCATGCTCGGGATCACTCATATGCAGACTCACTCACACTCCTGGAACTTCCGCGCTCAGATTCACACACACGTTGTGAGGATGTCTCAGGCGAGGCGCTGGCTTCAGTACTCCCCCAAGGGGGGCGCGCGCCCAGATTGGGGGGATATCTCAGGCGGTTTGCCGGTTTCGGTGCTCAACATCCTTCTCTTTCGGAGCAGTTTCCGAGGATGTCTCGGGCGAAGTGTTGGCTTCAGCACTTCCAAGAGGGGCCGCCACGGGGTATCTCGCACGGGCCCGTTCGCGCCCAGATTCGGGGGATGTCTCAGGCGGTTTGCCTGTTTGGGTGCTCAACATCCTTCTCTGTCGGAGCGGTTTCCGAGGATGTCTCAGGCGAGGCGCTGGTCTCAGCACTCCCAAGGGGGGCCGCCAGGGGGTGTCTCACGGGCCCGTTCGCGCCCAGACGGGGGGGGATGTCTCAGGCGGTTTGCCTGCTCGGGTGCTCAACATCCTCCTCTGTCGGAGCAATTTTCGAGGATGTCTCAGGCGAGGCGCTGGTCTCAGCACTCCCAAGGGGGGCCGCCAGGGGGTATCTCACGGGCCCGTTCGCGCCCAGATTGGGGGGATGTCTCAGGCGGTTTGCCTGTTTGGGTGCTCAACACCCTCCTCTGTCGGAGCAGTTTCCGAGGATGCCTCGGGCGAGGCGCTGGTTTCAGCACTCCCAAGAGGGGCCGCCAGGGGGTATCTCACGGGCCCGTTCGCGCCCAGATTGAGGGGATATCTCAGGCGGTTCGCCTGTTTGGGCACCCAATCGGTGTCCCCGGGATTAGGCTGCCGCCTCTGCCGCCTTGCCATGGCTGCTCCACGTTGATTTACGCGTGGAGGCTCTCGATGCCAATCATCCAGTTCGCAGGGGGAACTTCTGCCAGCAGCTCTCGTAAGGCCTCCAATAGCCATGCATTGCAGACGGGATCGTCGAGCTTTGAGATGCTGTTTGCCACAACTTCCTGCCTTGGCTTCCAGAAGCCCCAAAGAGGCCCCCATGAGGCTTCAAAAGACCCCCCAGAAGACTCCAAGACTGCCCAAAATCATTCCAAGATGGTTGGAGACACCCGCACCAAGCGGCACCCTTCAAACACCTTTGAGAAATCAGTGATTTTTGCCTCTTGGTGCCCTCTTGAGAGGGCTCTTGGAGAATGATTGGGACGTCTTCGAGACCTCTTGGGCTGTCTGGAGACCATCTTGGGCCGTCTTGGAGGCATCTTGGGCCGTCTTAGCAGTACATTCGGATGTCTTGACGCCCTGAGTGGGCTTCTTGGGCCATCAGGGACACGCCATGGCCGCCCAGGACCCCCCAAAAAAGAATAATAGCGATGCACGCACGCACCTTCATGCGGGCCGTATGCTGGGGAGTATTTTAAAAAGACTGCAGAAACCTCTCAGACAGCACTTGGCATTATTCCACCTTTTACGTGACAAGGTACGGTGGGGGACGTGTCAATG